CGACGATGAGCTTGCGGATCATAGCAGCCATTGCTAGCAGAGGTTAATTTTGAGGAGGATGGGGGTATATTGATCTCTGTTGAGTGAGGTGAGCTCACTCACATTGTCTGGAGAAGGGGGAAGAAGTAAGAAGTATGAAGGTATGTTTGCTTTATATACAACCAGAGTTTTTCAGGTATGCCCTCAAACTCTCAATTTTGCATGCGTTTTATCTTTCTGAAGTTCCAATTTTGAATCTATTAATGTGGATGGTCCCGGCAAAGGATAGGATTTCTTATTGGGTGCTCAGAGCTTAGGATTGCGTGCCAATCTATGCGTTTGATTTTTTTTTAAATTTTTTTTGGGGGTTTCTCCCAGAATTCGTCTAAAGGGTTAAAATTATGGATTATGGCAAAGTTTTAAGCCGAAGTACAATAAATAAATAATTCTGATTACTTTGATGCAATTTAGTTTCTAGGGGTAGGTTTTGTTGAATTTCGATCCTTTTTTTGACCATTTTAGATCACAAATATTCATTTATATATAGAATATACATAATCAACCCGAAGATTAATTTCAGTAAATTCCGTTTCTCTCTCTCATTACAAATTGTAATAGACAATCACTAAGTAACAAATAAGCCAATAAAGAAATGGACTCTTTATGCCAATCCCTAATGCTGAGGATCCTATCATGCTTTGTTGTATAGATTTACAACGCTATGAAGTGCACTTTCATGTAAATTTGTAATTAGTGGTAAAGAGCACTTTTTGTATACAATATGTGTCTAAAATGCTAAAAAGTCAAAAGCAAGAATAATTAAGAGAACAAATGAAGAGAACGCAATTGGCAAAGGTCCTAAACTTCATGTGCAAGCAGCGCCTTTAACAAATGGCCCCATCTCCATCTCCTTTTCCCCTCAAAAACTTTTGCTTTTCTTCAAATGGTTTACTTTAGGGGTAAGGATTCCCTTGTAGCTACCTAATCTGATCTCTTCTTTGTTTGTATTGAGCCACCCCCCTCCTATTCTCTGTAGCAGCAGGCAGAAAATAATGGGTCCTCCCTCCTCATCTCCTCTTTATACAAAAGGCACGGGATACTGCTGTTTGCATCTTGATTGAATCCTTACCCTGCCGACCATTTCTCTCTTTTTGTTGGTAA